ACTGGTATAGATTGAGTGTCGTCACCCAGCTGTCTCAGAGTGATCACGCGCCTTTTGTATGCTGCAGTTTTGACAAGTTGGCCTACCTGCAAAACACCATAAACAAGTTCATCATGTATTTAATTCGAAATATACAAAAACTTTTACAAATAATAATAGTGTGTTTTTGTATAGCACTCATGTCCGTCACACTTGGCACTCCTGGTTTTCCCGAAGGAGGTGTTTACGTTCTTTGGAGCATGCTCAGCCTTCGCCTCTGCCTGTGCAGAATTTTTCTCACCTAGTCACAGATGGCGAGTGGCTACACATGTAGGCTGTAGGCCTAATTTATATATATATTTTTTTTTTTTTTAATTTAAAAAATACCCACTGACTCGGCTCAGTCAGTGACTGGACATGCCAAATTAAAATAAATTTGCCAAAATTTTCAATTCAACATTTGTGCAGGGCTTTTCAGTCGCATTACACAGAGCTGCCAACTAGTACGGATTTTCCGTAATTGGTACGGAAATTAACGACCATTACGGAATGTTGTCTCAAATTACGGATTTAAAAAAAAAAAAAAAAAAAAAAAGATTTTTTTTTTTTTTTTTTTTTTTTTTTTTTTTTTTTAATGAATTAAATATGATTTATCGTAGCGAGTGCTGTGAATAGGAGCCATTTTTCATGATAAACTGTGTTGTGATGACCTGAAATTCAATACTTAACATCTTTGTGTGAGTAAAATCACCAAAAATTTCAGATAATCATGCGTCCGCGCAGTGTTGGCGTGTCGTTTTTTTAGATTCATAGCGCCGTATAAGAAATTACTGATTTATACCCCAAATTACTGATTTTGAGCCTTGTGATTACTGATTTTCTGTTCTGGAGGTTGGCAGCTCTGATTACATGACTTTCCGAGCAATGAATGACTTCATAATTCCTCTTTAGTAAATGCTGCATCAAGCAATGAATTAACCATCTCTGCCTTCAGTGATCCAGGCAATGTTGGTATTGCTGTCCTCTTTCACAGCCCGGAGAAGCCTCGCACAGCCTGGTGCCAGGTGCTCCCCACCATCACTTTATCGATTCTGGTATCCTTAAGCTTCTTCTTATTGAGTAGTAGCCGAACCCTGCCATCATGTCTGACAAACCTTGCAAACATTGGGCGGGTTTGCCTTGCCGTTGCCGACCAAGTGTTCTAATGCAGCTCGTTGTTGTACCGAATGATTGATTACATTTCTATCAGTGTGCATGGGAGTACTGTCGGCCCCTTCACGACAATCTTCAACTGATACCTCGTATACACGTTTAGTAGTAGTACCCTCGGCCTTAGTGTCAAAGCTATCCAACAAATATAATGCATAATCTTGGATTTCCAAAAATGTTTAACCTGAATTAGCCAATTGGATGCGCCGTAGTTCAAGGCGTGTGCCATGACTACGTGCTCCAGCTACAAACTTATCGCTAAGAATTGAATCCCTCAGGCCTTTGAATGCCTTTTCCTGCGGTGTCATAATCAGGGATGGCTCAGTGGTTAGAGTGCCTGCCTCATGAAAGGGAGGTCGTGGATTTGAACCCCGGCCGAGTCATACCACAGACTTATAACAATGGGACCTTCTGCCTTCTAGCTAGGCACTCAGCATATAAGATTGGAGAAGGGTAGTAATATACAAATGATGCACAGGTTTGAGTGCGTCGGTAGGGATTGTGGGCACATGGTACCTTTGAATGGTTTTAGACCAAATTCAAAGGTACCGCGTGCACACAATTCCGTAATTCGGTAAATACCGGAAAGCATGATTTTTTTTAAATTTGCATAATTTTTAAATTTTAGTGCAATGGATGGAAAAAAATGTAATGACTTACCTTAAACATGAAACTTGTGAAGTCAAGTATGAAGAATCAATGCTAACAACAAAAATAATGAATGCTGAACAGGGACAAAGAACACTGAACGTCTTTACACTGTGTCTGTAGACTATTACAGTCTAGTTATTGAATGTGTACTACACAGTCACTTAAACTAAAGTTGTGACTGGTGGCACGCATATTGTTTTCTGATGACAGAGACAATGAGAGTAGATCACGGAGTTACGGAGTTTGTGCTAATGCCAATGGCATGAGAGGGGTAGTACGACTAGGAGGAGGTGCTGCTAGTGCTACGGTAGTAGTAGAAGGTGGTGGTGCTAGTGCTACGGTTGAACATGTAGCAGGAGCATAGGACATCTGTTTTCCAATTTCTCAGCTCATCTCCCGTTTTCGGCCATCACTAGTCTTGCTGTAGATCTTGATGGAACTTTCGCTTCGATGCCCACTCACAGACATGATGTCCCTTGACTGAAAACCAGCTTTGTCGAGTGACGTGACACACGTTGCACGCAGGCAGTGATTAGTGTAGACTTTACTACATCCGGCAGCGGTGGAGATTGTCTTCATCTTGTTTGAGAGTGTATTGATACCAACCGGGCTGTTGCAGTACCACGGCTCATTTCCATCGCGCGGTTGACTAGCTTTCGGTTTTTGCCAAAACCATTCACATGATGGTTGCAGTTTTGAAACATAAATCTCAAATGACTTCACGGGGCATCTATCACTGCTTGGAATTTCGTACATAAAACCTCCGGTCGCTTCATCGTCATTCTCTCGGTGGTTTTTGGTGAGCTGGTCACGTTTCGTTAGATAGCGCAGTCCGTCTTCATCGGTGAAGATTGTAAAATCAGACACTTTGAAGTTACGTACATTCTCATGACCTCTATTACAAAAGAAAGTCATTAAATCTAGAAACACTTTATTTTGCAAGCCTTTTGGGGAGGTGCAATCTAGCTCTGAAGAGGTCTGGATCTTGTTCATATCAAGCACAGAAATTGAGGCTTTCTGTGGGGTGCTTCCCAGCCCCTCTCGCTTCAGCTTCACCAACACAACCTTAAACCATAAACCTACTACAAAGTACCATGTCCTGCCATCTTGTAGAATTTTCTGTTGCAGGATGCCCCATCAGATACCACTGCACGAACTCGAAGCTCAGCTGTCTCTACCTTGAGAACGGTTTTCATGATGCAGTCATAAATTTCTCCACTGCGTAAAGCAATTGTGGGAAAGAACGCAACAGCCTGTTGCACAGATGAAAATATCCCACGAACCATTATCATGAATGCATGCGTGGCCAGTTCAGCAGTGTCTTCTTTGATGCGTCTCTCAAACACCCTGAACTCATTATTGATGTCCCCAACATATACAAAACCAAGGAGATGTCCAGTGGAGGATGAATATGCCAGACCCGATTTCAACTTCATTTCATCGCAAACAAGAGTTACGTTTCTCTGGTAATCGTCTGTGATGTTCATGTCCTCTATCATTTGCTGTATCACTTTACAGTGAACCCCAGTTTTGGCTTCCGTGTAGTGAGTATACCTGTGCAATGTTCCAATGGCAGGCAAGATCATAAAACCACTGTCTTTGATCAGTTTATATTGCAGGTGATTTGCTGTGAACAGCGATTGCCCACCTAACAATTGTTGGGTGCCATCTTAATGGTCTTCTATCTTTAATCTTCAACGCTTTCCTTTGCTCCTGCCATAGAATTTTCTGTGGTGAATTGTCCTTCAGTAAATGTTCTATCTCATCCGAAGCCTCCTCCACAACTTGTTTAATATCTTTCCCCAACTGTTCATCCAGTGTGATGCACTCGTCCTTGAACAATCGTTCAATCAATTCGGTCAGCCACTGGTCTGGGCTGTCGTACTGATCTAGAGCTGGTTCAGTGAGTTGATGGTCAGCCTCCTGCAGGTTAGTGGCTGCCTCTTGATCAAGGGTGATGTGAGGGGATTCTCTGAAACTCGCAGGCAGAGACTCCCAGGTTTTCTCCGGGTAGGGGAAAGTGGGGCATAATGGAACACTTAATTTCAAACTTGACATATGATGTCATCAACGACACAAAAACAGTAAAAATAACAGTTTCAGATAGATGTTGTATGCACTTTATTATGTCAACGAAAAACCGACAAAAACCACGGTAAAATTGCAGAGAAACTCGAAACGAATTTTACAAAAGAAAAATCCAAATTGCCCCATCCCTGAGGCATAATGGCACTGCCCCCTGGGGCAAAATGGATCTACGGATCCGTATGGCCCCATCATAACTCTAACGTTCTATATTGAGTAATGTACCTAAAGTAACTTTAAGCATACTTGGTGGGCAGAGCTGCATAATGGAAGCCTATAGTAGTTTCATACATTTATGGGGCAAAACTGGGAAGGTAATCGTAATAAAGCCTGGTTTAAAAGTAGAAAATGTAGACTTGTAAAATGTGCACTACACTCTAAATTTCTTAGACTGGAATCTGGGTCACAGTTTCGTTCTGATACAACCACTAGTCACGTTAACCAACTGCTAGGCACATACTTTGAATTCAGCTAACTTATACATCTAAAACTGGCTGGGGAAACTAGAACAACTATCGACTTGTTTCATGAACCAACTGTACTTTCAGAATGGAACATGAAACATTGGTAAACAGGCCCCTATAAAAAGGGCGAAAACAGCATTTTGTTTATTTTTGTGAATTATTTTACAAGACAAAACAAAATAAGTAATGTTGATTTTTATTCCCTTTATGCATTTGTTGTCTCTGTGCTATAATGTCGCCATAGGATAATACGCGTATAAACGACGACTGAACATTAATCACTCCCGTGACTGACTAAACTGTGCAATAAAAAGTAAATATTTTTTCTTTCTTGTTTTTTAACATATACCTTTTTCAAAAAAGGAAATGGACCTTAACTTTCACAACAAATTGTTGAAACAAGTGAAACACTGGAAATGCAACTCATCTCTGCAATGCCGAAAACCATCGAAATAAAAACTCTTGTAAGTTATTTGGAAAGGCGTCAATTTCTATCAACCAATGACAATAAAAAGTCATGTAAACTGCTAAATGTATATTAACATTGACAAACTATATCCCTGACACTGATGTCTTCTGCCATATCTAGACATGATGTCATTGAATAGCATTTTAAGAACAGAGATCACACACAAATTCTTCTTCAGGATCACCCTCTTTTCCCGCGCAAGCTTCATGTGCCCATTCAGAACAGATTGAGCACTGGATCATGCCATCATTGCCTGCACTCCACAGTTCACTGCAGTAGATACACTCGGCATCACCAGCATCATCTTCACTTGATGAAGTGTCACTCAGCACTTGTCTATCTGTCTTGCGCTTCCTTTTCCCACCGGTTTTAGGCTGGACAGGAGTTCGCGCTTTTGCTGAACCCTTTCCCTTTGCCCGAGTTGTCTTTGAGAGGATAATTCAGACTTGTAAGGGCTTTCTGTTAGGACCACAGTTTTGCCACGTCGTGCATTGTTTGATCTCTTGCTCCTCGAGGTAGCACTAGCTTTAGGAGGTGAGGAAATGTCAAATGGTGATTGATACCTAGAATTTGAGGGACCTGCATTACCGTTGTTAGTATCAGGATCTGTTGCATCGGCAAGCAGGTTTGGAGCAGTTTTGGACCCCTCTTTCACTGCTTCATGATCTTCCGTGTGAGGTCTTTCGATGTCTACTGTGGCAGTCAACTCTGCAATGCCTCCTACACGATCAACCTTATCCTCACTACCTGGAGCAGCTACTTCCACTCCTAATTCACTGAGTTGTTCGTTGCCTCCGTCGTCCATGGGAAGATCTGTTACATCTGCCGCTAGGAATTCATGAGGGAGGAAGACATCTCTGTTGGTAGGATATATTCCTGTTTTGCGAAACCCACTAGCTGCCACCTGCGTAGTTGCTGCCCTCATGTATACATTGCCGAACAACTCTGCAACCTGGAAGGTCGTGACAACTCGACCTGGATTGTTTCTCAACCATTTCTTCAGTTCTTGGTCATAGTATGTTGACAGTGGCTTCATAAAGCTCACATCAAGTGGCTGCATTCTGTGAGAGCAATGTGGGGGCAGACACAGCATCACAACTCTGTTGTGTCTGGCAAGGTCTATAACGTCCAAGTTTTTGACATGTGTTGCGTGCCCATCAAGTATCAACAAGATCGGGTTGTCCTTAGAAGCGCCAGACGATCGGATGAAGTGCTTGAACCAGATTGTGAATATGTCCATCTGCATCCATCCACTCTTGTGACACTCATAGATTGATCCTGGAGGAGCTCTGTTCATTAGTTCCATCTTCATTCTGACACGTGGTAAGATAAACATGGGTGGGATGAAAGACCCTGTGACGCTCATGCACGTTTCGAATGTGACGGTCTGACCACGTTCCGCTGAAACCAAGGACCCAACTTGTTTCCTTCCGGTCTTTGCAAGAACTTTTGATGGCTTGCTTTGCACAGTACTTATACCCGTTTCGTCTACGTTGTAGATATTTTTTGGTGGAAACTTGTGCTTGTCCATCAGAGGTTCGAGCAGGTCAAAGAATTTGTTCACGTTTGTATGGTTGAACGAACGTGCTCTCGCTGCAGAGGTACAGTAGCTTCTGGTTGTCTCAGAGAAATTGGATGGCGTTTAATGAAGGAATACAGCCATTCGCTTCTCTCTGTTGAACTGATGTGCGATCCCGTTTCTTTCGGCAAGTTGAAAAGCAAGACAACGTAAGTCGTTTGATGTCAGTCCGTACATCATCAATTCCATTTGATGGATGTAGTCTACGAGGTCTTTCTCAATCTCTTCAGGAAACGTTGGCTGGAAATGAAGAAAAGCAAAACTACTTTAATAATTAAACAGGGCATTTTTTATTCTTAGATTTTTATACATACCTAAAAATGCATTGCAAGTTTCATTCAAGAATTAGATAATAAGTGAGAAGATTGGGTCGCATATTCTGTTGGCATCTGTTTTTTGTTCTCTGTTGTTCTTGTTTTACCAAATTTATGAAGTGAAATGATTATATTTTTTCAACATTAGACATATTCAAAATAAACCTACCTTGAAATTACCCATTAACTTTGCTGCACCTATTGCAGATTTGTTAAGTCGTTTGACTCTTCGACGAAGGGTGGCTTTTGGTACCGAGAACTCGGCGCTGGCTTTCTTTAGTCCTAGACCATTATTAGTAACGGCTTTTATGGCAGCCTTCATTGCCTCTTCATCCCACGTCTGTCTTGTCGATTTCCGCTTGTAGCTTCTAACCATCTTTAAGACGATCTGCAAAAATAGACCCGTTGCTTTTGAGGTTATCCAACTACCACCTGATACCCAGAGAACAGATTAGCGATTAAAGCACCTACTGGCTCAACAATGAATGATATTTCGAAATAAAGAGTGGTTTTTTAACATACGCTAATTTCAAAGTTCCATGTTGCCCCCCGGGTCCGTTATGCCCCACTTTCCCCTACTCCCTCATGACTGCAAAGAGATGTTTGCAGGGCATCTGGCTCCACCTCCAATCCCAGCATGTGCAGCTGAGAGGGCCATGGGTCAGTAGCTTGACAACATATGTCAGCTTCTGCTCAGTGTCACTCTCCACCTCAAAGGTATTTGATGAAACCCTCCTGATATTTGTCTGTGGGATAGTGTCTGCCAGCTCCAATTTTCTCATACAGTGCTGAATAAACCAAGCAGGTCTGTCAATGTATCTAAATTCAGGTATGCATAGCATCGAATTGATCTTTATTCCATTCATCATAAAAACATAACAAACATATAAAATGCAAAACATAGCATACAAGTTAAAGAGAAACATTTACAATAGAATACAACAACAACAACAATAATATCATATGAATGTGGAGACAGCTAGGAAAGCCAATGGCTTTATTGGTGCTGCCACCAAAACAGTAATACAGTTAAACCAGGAAGCTGTAATGAATGGAGATACCGTCTCGAAAGAATTTTCCGAGGGAAAATATTCAAGATTAACCTGGCTTAACAAAAAGAAATGTAACCCTCTCCAACCATCATTTCCATCAACAGCTGTCCATATCAATGCACAGTCCCTCTCTGGAATTCCAAATAGTACGAAAAGTTACGCAACGCCATCTGCTTCCCTAAGTTCTCTATTCACTCTTTTGCAAATATATGCAAGCATCGAGCTTTGAAGCCATGCGTGGCACCGAAAAATTAAGTCATGTTCAGTGAAGATGTATTTAGCTATAACATATAAAATACAGAATTAACAGCATAAGACCATTGCAACTTTATATTAGTCATCAAATGCTTTTTCTGTTCTCCGATAGCTCTACTGAATGCATGGCCATTTCAACCAGCGAAATCGACCAAGGAAATCGTGAGTTAGAGCGAATGAAAGGTTTTCATCATTATGATTTTCTCATCTAATTATTGACATTTTCCGAAAATTTCCGAAATTTGTACATAGCTAGGAAGGTAGTCTAAAGGCTTATCTTCCTAAAGAACTAAATGAAATTGTGTTATATGTTTGCGCATTTATTGATTGAGGGCTAGAAGTTGTCAAGTTATCACCACTATTCACCCCAAATACGGGCCCACAAAGCAAAAGCCGCCGTGCTCGCTGGGCTGGGATGTGTGTGGAAAGGGAGTACCTAGTGCTACTAGGGAGCTGTACGGTTTCGGAGGGGGATTAAGGGGATTACGGTAGGGGAAACAAAAGACAAGCGGTGCCACGGATGGCTTCAAAGGGGTCTCTTGGACGGGATCTCCATTCATTACAGCTTCCTGGTTAAACCATTTTGCTGGCGTTTGCAGTTGCATACCACTCTGTCTTCAGTGATCAAGGCATTGTTGGTATCGCTGTTCTCTTTCACAGCCCGGGGGAGCCTCGCACAGCCTGGTGCCAGGTGCTCCGCCAACTTACATTACTTTATCGAATCTGGTATCCTTAGGCTTTTTCTTATCGCGAAGTAGCCGAACCCTGTCATCATCTCGCTTTAGATGCCCTTTCTTGTTACAGTAATAGCAGAATGATGTGGAATTCTGCTTATAATTGCTGGTCATTCCTCTCATGGCATGACCACCTCTTTCAATGTCTCCTTTAGTTCAGTGATCTCACTCTTCATGCTTTGGATAGTTTGGTCTTCAGCTGTCAGTGATGCTCTCGCTGCCTCTACCTCACACTCTCTGATACTGGGCTTTGACGTCACTGTGTCATCATCCTGGAACATTCAGAGAACTTCCTACTGCATATCAATGAAAGACTTGCCCTCAGCGGAATACATTATGCGACGGAGCTCCCTCTGGATTTGTTTGTCCTTCACTCCAGTGACAAATCGCTCCTTAAGGTTGTTGTCCCGCAACATGTTCAGGGCCGCTTTTTCATCTCCTGTTGCTGTCGATTCCATCCGGTCATAAAGGCAAATGAGGGCACTGCTAAAGTCCGCTAAAGTCTCCCCCGGCCTTTGTATCATGGCATGCAACTCCGTGCTGAGTGGCTGCACAGTTTCCTTGAGGCCATAACGGGACTTAAAGGCTTTCTTCAAAGCCTTGGTATCCTTCCTGACTGAAGAGTCATAACACCTTGTTTCATCTTTAGCTTGGGGACGACAAGTTCTGAAAGGCCCCTGTAAGGGCTGCCACCATCTCAGCGAGGCTTGGAGGTTGAGCTGAAGCTCCTGTTGCGGTAGTCGGGTCATCTTCAACACCACCTGGCATCTTGCGTCCTGTGTATGTCTGTCAAATTTTAAATGCTGACTTCCCTTCAAAGCAATTGGAACCTGCTGGCTTACAGTTGTGAAAAGAAATCTATTGACATTGATTTACAACAATACTTCAGTGCAATAAATTTGAACTATGCTTACTCTACAAAGCTTATACATCCCTGATAAAATCTATTTAATGGTTTACTCCCACATCCCCTGTAGTCTGGAGCTTTTCTAAGCCATATCTTCCTTGCAGCGAATCTTCCCTCTGAAGCTTGTCGCTGTGGTTCAAGTTCAATCCCACTTCTGACACCACTGTAGTATTCTGGTATTAAATTCGAGAGAAGGGGGGGGGCGGTTGTCAGGAAGAATGCACTACCAGAACACAATTACACGACTCGAAGTTGTAGGATATGCGCGGAATTTTATTTCCCACTTGAGCTAATCTGCATAAAGTTACAAAGAAGAAAAATGTCTGCAAAAGCAGAAAAGAAACAACAAACGAAAGAACATCAGTAACTACACGTTCAAAATTTCTTCATGTAACAATTTAGAGTCAACAATAAATGTACATCTCTTAAAACCAAGTCAATGATACTTCAATATTCATCGAGTGAGTAATTCTATGTAAAAGAAGAAAATGTATTACTTATCATTCCAAAATATGTCCTTTAGCTATTAGGTGTGAAATATGACTAATCAATTTCCTCACTGACAGTATATGAATACATGTCACAAAATTATGAAAGCATCAACTCTAAGATCAATATCAGAATAATCCCCTGAAATATGCGTAGTCATGGATTTTCAGTCTAATTAATGTATGTTGACTGCCTACCTATGATTTATTATAGTACCTGAAACAGAAGTAATATAACAAACAATGTTTGTGTTAAAAACTATTTATCATGCTCTACCATCCTGACTCACCCGACTAGGACTGCTAATCAACTACTTGTTGCTATGAAGACAAACAATGGTACGAGCTTCCTCTACTCAACGCTGGAATCTAAAACAAAAACAATATCACTCCAAAAAGCACCAGAACTCTTTCTCCATCCGAAACCTGGTCAATCAGTCAACACAACAACTGTTGAACCCCTAGCTCCATCCACGAAAGGAACTCCTCGACAGAAAAGAAATATGAAATGTTCTGGATACTCTACTGCAAAACTCAAAACTTGCTCCTCACTCTTTTTGGTCCTTTCTTGATTTGTTTCCGTTTTCTCCCATTGTTAGAATTGTGGTCAAGAACTCTAGCCTTGTCAGCATACCAGGGTAGTGGAAATGTTTTCATTTGGGACAATACTTCATTTGGGACAATAATCGGTGACTGTCGTAAACGTGTCGTCATCCTCTTCATTGTCAGTTGTAATGCTGGAGACGTCTGTGAAACTATCTTTGTCCATTTTGTCCATGAATCTGATCAAGCTAGAAGTAGTGTCAGATAACAATGAATCGTTATCATCTTCATGATGAATCTCGATCAAGACTTCATTATGGAGCTGACAGCAGTCGGATACGATACTTGTTCCATCATCATTATTATTGTCGACGTCGTCGTTATCGCTGTTGATTTGATTGGAGGTGGAAATTGGGTAATATGTGGTGCTTGGCATGCTGTGGTATGCTTCAAGATCTCTTGTTTTACAAGCCTTTGTCAATTGACAAATATCTTTCACAAGATTCTGTCGAACAGGACCTGCTTCACACCAAACAATTTGATTCTTGTAGATTTGTTATGCTCCTTTCTGAGTGTGAATGCTTCCTGTTCCAACAGGTATCTCTGACGCTTCATTTCAGCAGGTAGATCCATCACCATCGTCAACTGTGGATAAGTGA